ATGATGTGCTTATAAAGAAGTATTTTTTTATAAGTTTATTAGTAAAGTGTCTCAGGCCTTGGCGTGATTATAAAAAGGGTTTTACTATGATGTGATTATATAGGAGGTGACTATATAGGACGAAGACTGTACATTAGCGTGCCTTTTACATCACCAGCTTTGATATCAGTTGTAAAAGCAACAGCATCCAGTTTTTCTTGCTAACCCAAAATCCTCAATTAAAATTTTATCATAATTTATCAGTATGGCCATATAAAATTAATTTTTTGGTTATCATAACATAAAATTTTAGAAATGACCCGGCAGGCAACCCGGCTTTTAATTTTATCTTCAAAAAATTTTATGTAAAAAACATAAAATTTTTTTATAAAAATTTAAAAAAGCTCACCCGGATAATAAAAAATATAGTAAAAAAGTTTTTTCAAAATTTTGTTGAATTTGACCCGGCCGGGTTATGAGAACCAATTAATTAAGTTTGTATGACCTATATTTAAAATAAATTCAAAATTTAGCAATAAACAACTTAATAAATTATTGCTCACCAAATCGCAATGAATAACTTTATTTAAGTACAAATATTGTAATCAAAGTATAAATTGGTTTGCAATTTGATGATTTCATCAAATAAAATCTTGTAGATATCCTTATTAAATTTATTTTCTAAATGCTTTCATAAGCTACCTTCGTTAGCTAACTGTAAAACAAGCATGAAACTATTCATTTCAGGGTCTGAAATTATTAAATTGCTGTTTAATATAATCCAAAAAAAGCAATTTTATGAAATGTAACATTATCGGTTGTAATTTCATAAAATTTGGATCAAAGAGCGGTGTTGTTTAAACTATAAGTATTATAATTATTAGACTCGGGCGAGTAGGTGCTAAGAATGATTAATAATAGATGAATAATACTCACCTTATTAACAGGCCCTTTGTCACTATGCCCTGTGAAAACTTTTCAGCGCGAACTAGTGATGCCTGACGAAACCATGTGATGCTAATTATCACGTGTTATTACTTATAAAAAAAATCATTGATTTTTATATACAAGTCACTCTTGTTATAGCGAAATCCTCGGGCTGAGAAAAAAAATCTTCACTATAGCTTATATCGAGAGAATACTATATAAACTTCACTATATCGAAATAATTCCGGAATCCAAAATTCTTCACTATATCAAATCTTCACTATAACATGGCTTCGTCAGGCATCACTAGCGCGAACTATTCATCACCATTTTCGGCAGAATAAACTATTCCGTATTCACTTTATTTGAAAGTATCAATTTATGTTTAAATAAGTTGACTGAACAAAGTATGTGATAAACTAAAGAGAACCCTACCTCTTCCGATTTCTTTACATTCATATATTTTGAGAAGTCAATATAGCGTATATTGCCAGCTTTATTTATCCATGCTGTACGTCAGAATTGTATGGTGCATGTAGTCTAGAACCAACATCACGTGAAAATATCCATTCTCGAATGTTCTCAATGCCAATAAGTTTACGTTGGCAGAAGACACCGAGAGAAACTAATTCCCGAAAAATACCAGAAAATTATGTTGAAATTTATACGAAATGCTGGTCGAAATTTCAAAGGAAGCAGCAATTAAGTGTATTACCAGATTACCTTACTATTGAAGAGAATTCGGGGAGAAAATTGCTTTAAACTGAATCAATACTCAAAACCCTCGGATATTTATTATTGATTGAACCAAAACAACAATTCTAAAGTATCGAAGAGTAATTGATCCTGATAATGTGTCCGCATTAGAATCTCGAACATAACCTTACTTAAACTGGAAAAATATGAAGAGTTGATTGAAGATTCGATCAAAACACTGAATAATGATCCAAGAAATTTGTTTGCTAAGAAATTATATAGAAGCTCTTGAATATTTAACTTAATCGATGATGATTCAGACGGTCTAAATTTTAAAAGTCGCTATGAAAAATCTCTAGAAACTTTAACTAAATCGCTCGAACTAAATCCAATAATGCAATTGTGCTGGGATATAGAGGGAAAACATATTACAAGTTGAATTTTTTATAAAGAGTCTCTGTTCGATTTAACATGGTCATTGGAAATTGATCTCGATAATGTAGACGCATTAGAATTTAAAAAACTTATTGATTTATAAGCAGTAATTTGTATACAATTGAGTTCTAGAATACAAAATTTTATATTTAAATCATTATCTTAATTTCATTCTTTGTAGATAATTAGGATACGGAGCTCTGTATTTAGTGAATCTTAGCAACTAAATTTATAAGAAATTACTTTTTATTGCATTTGAGTCAAAAAAAAAATGCGCCAAATATTTTAATAAAATTTTTGATGCTTTAAATAAAGACGATCATATACAGTTATTATTTCGGTTGAAGTTTAAAAAAAGTTAAAATAAAAACTTTATACTATTCTACTAGTTCATCCCATATTTAAGTATACTTTTTAGGTTTAGTAAATAAGATTTACTTTTAAAATACTGAGAAAATTATTTTTTTATTTCTTAATACTGGATTTGTATTATTTTGCTTTTGTTATTATTGCTATTATATATCATTCGTGATAAAAGGCAGTTTTGTCAATGTACATGCTTGGACAAATCTTGGATGTTACTATGACAACAAACAATATTTATACGTACGTAGATCTACGCGTAAACCACGACTAAAATTATCGATTACTTGATTTATTAAATGAGCGTAAACAGGCCAAAAGAGGCATCGAACATCAAGAATGCCTAGAAATATCTATGAAGGTACGAAGTTACATTTCATTTGCCTTGTTAATTACTGAATTATGCTAACCACTATTGTTGAAAGGGAAAATTGCAATGAGCAGCATTTAATTTCAACGGTTTACTTTACAGATTATAATGCCTAAGTTATAGTTAATCAAATTAATGAGAATAATTTTAGCTCAAGCTTCTAAAAGCTTTACCCAGAAAGAACATAACAACAAAGTTGGCCGGCATTAGCTATAATGCTAGTCGATTTTATTGGGATTGTCTTTTTGAAAAAATGGTTCCGAAATATATCAAGTTGTGGTACTGTAGCTACTTTAAAAATCACGTTTCAGCCACAATACCCACTCCGATTAACAAACCAAATGCTAGGACAACAAATGAACTTTATTATGTACAGTTATAAGAAAGTCAAATCAGCGAGAGCTAGTTTTTTCTATAAATATTCTCCTCAGAACACGACAATGCAGATAATTAAATACCAAATAAAAAAATTTATAAGGAATTAATTCTATACTTATAAATAGATCTATGGATCAAAAGAAAAAAAAACAATCGAAAAATGAAACTTACAAAAAAAATAAAGAAAACCATACTCATGATTAATCTATAGTAAAAATATACAATAATCCGCCATGAACTCAGGACATATACCGTTTCGGAATTCTTAGCAGACAAAGATATACGGTATTACTAATCATGCGTAATATTTGCAATCAGTTTTATGAGCTCTATTTCCTAGGGTTCGTATTTGATTATAATCAGTCATACAGCTGAATGAAGAAAATATAACAAAAAATTTAGTATTAGAATCGTAAGTAATGAAACAATCTATAAAATAAAATAAACTACTCACATCCAACAAAATTCATAACTACATCCGGGCCTCCTACATCTCATATGATCACAACCAGCATTTTTCTCAATCCTACTCAAACATTTTGGGCATTGTTTCAATTTCTTTACATAGTGTTCAGAAGCAGATTCTTCATCCACTCGTCGTTTTCGATCTTCTTCCTCCTGTTCCTGTTTTCTACGTTCTTCTTGCTGTTGCCAACATCTTTCACATCCATCGGAAATTGGAGTTCCATGCACGACACAGGATTTATGGCCGCAAGCATTACAAGTCATTATCGGAACATTCTCTTTGATGAATAAAAATAAAATAAGGATAAGTATATAATATTGATACGTAATACGTAGTAGTAAGATTTTTTTTGCAAAAATTCACCTCCTTGATAATGATCTTGACCAGATCCACAATTTGGATTTAAGCACCACTGAAATGTAGGAATTTGCGATAAAACAAAATTTATCATAAGTCGTTCATATCTGCAATAATAAATAAAAAATAAGTATGAAAAGAAATTAATTAATTTCCAAAAAAAAAAAAACTAAACAA